GTCAAAGCGGCAACGTGGCCTTGGGCAGCCCCGAGGCCACGTCCTCCATCTCGTGGCCTGGGGCAGGGACGCAGCCTCAGGTCTGCAAAGGGATGGAAGCCCTCTGTGCCTCACCAGCAAGGACCCGGAGGGAGGGTGTCCCAGGACACTGGGGTGGGGGCCGGTGGCCCCCAGAGGCTATTGGGGCAGCTGGGTCCGTTTGGGAAGGGCCAAGCCGGGCCAGCACAGGACAGGAACCGTCCCCAGTGGAATCAGTCCCCCTGCCCTTGGTGAGAAAGCAAGCCCCAAGCCCCTGTGCCCACTGCTGGGATCAGAGAGTTTGCAGAGGGATGTCGAGGCTTCCGAGGACAGCAGCCCATCCCAGCAAAGCCTGTGCCCGGGCACCGAGGCAGCCAGCCTGCCTGCCCAGGTGGGCCTCGTGGCCTGGGGCACCTGGGGCACCTGGGGCTGTGTCTGCAGAGCTCCGGGGCGTGGGGGGGCTAGCCCCGTGGCCAAGCCCCTCCCAGCCTTGTAGACGGATCTGCTCTGAGGGCTGGGGGCTCCTGTGACCTCGTTCTTGCTTCTGGTCCCAGCACGGCCTCGGGGTCTCCGAGCTGCCCTGACCCCAACCACCCCACCCACTCCTTGCTGTGGGTTCCCACCCCTGACCTGCCTTTCCTTCCGAGGCCCTCGTCTCCCTCTACCGCCCCCTGGAGGCAGCCGGGGCACTGTGCCAGGCCCTCAGGGCTCCAGGCATGGGAGGCTGCCCCCAAGGGTCCGCGGTGGGTCCCCCCACCCCGCCCATTCCCCAGGTCTCGACGACAGTCCTTGGGCTCCCCGAATTTTGGCCCTTGGGAGTAGAAGCCTACTCCCGTGAAGTCTCATGGGCTGCAGGCCTCCGGTCCTCTGTCCACACCCTTGCAGGCCCGTCGCCCGGGCTCTGACGACGGACCCCGTCAGAGGGGTCATCCTCGCGTGCCGGCCCCACTAGGCCCGCACTCCGAGGAACTTCCACAGATCCCCTTGCCGGGCGGCTTCCCAACACTGACGGGCTCGGGCACCGCCTCGAACCGCAGCTCTCCCGGTTTCCTGGTCGGCAGGGCCGGGCGGCGCGCGTGGGTTTCTTCATCTGACACACCTGGGTGACGCGGGGTCCACCTGGCCGAGCACTCACGGGTCCGGCAGTATGTCCGTGGGTCCTTTCAGCGCCTCTGTAGTGACGGCCACGGCCCGCCCCCGGAACCCCGGGGCGGCAGGTGCGCCCACCCGGCGGCCCTGCCCGGAGCGAGCAGAGCCCACGGCCCCCTGATGCCGCGCCCTGGCGGGGAGGGGCCCCAGACACGCAGGCTGTCCCGTCGGGGTGCGGAGACCCACGGTCAAGGATGCAGGGAGAGAGGGCAGGGCCGGCAGAGTGCGAGGGGGGCAGGGGGCCCCGGCGGCTTCTCCCAGACAGACCCGAGTCCCCGGGTTTCCCCCTCCCTCCCTCCCTCCCACGTGCCATGCTGCAGCCCCTCCCCATCTGGTCCCCTGCACAGAGGTGGGACCGCCGCCCACACCGTCACTCGCGCCCAGGCCACCCTCGGGCTCCCCTCACCCAGACACCCTGGCGCGCTCTCCGACGCCACGCTGCCCCAGCGGTCGCATCAAGTCCAGTGCCCGCTGGATAAATTTAGTGTTCTAAGAACATGCTGACTCGAGGTGACGTTTCATTTGGGATTTTGTGGGCGCAAAGAGCCTGTATTCCTCCTTCCCCGCTCCGCCCCCGACACCGGTTTCAGGACTGAGCTTCCGAGGGCCTGGTGAACCCAGTGGAGCCGTTTTCCTCTGAAGCTACAATCCACTCAGAGGAGCTCACGGTGTCCGCAAAGTCGGCCCAGCCGCCGGCACCGGCGTCACCCCAGGCTTCCCTGGGGTCGGGCACGGAGGAGCGGGCTTCTGTGACGGTTTACATTAACTGACGCGCTGGGTCTATTCCAGCGCTTGCTTCCTGCCTCCACCAATCCCGGCGTTTTGTATTTCCCCCAGCACCTGCCTGTTTTCCTGTTTTTAAAGTTACGGGTACACAGTCGTTCATAAAATTCCCTTTTTTTTAAAGATCACGCTCTCCATTGTGTCTGTAGTTAATTTGTCTTCCTATATTTTCGTCTTGCGTTATGTTTTTAAAAAATCCTGCTAGAGTTATTAGTCTTTCAAGAAATTTTGATTTTGTTAATTTTTTATTTTTTATGGAGTGTGAAGCTTATATAAATATAAATGTGTACATACATTGATATTCCTATGAATATAATATAGGAATGTAAACATATAGTGTGTGTTCAAGCTTGCTCAGTGTGCCCTGGCTGGTATAGCTCAGTGGGTTAAGCACTGGCCTGCAAGTTAAAGGGTTCCTGGTTCGATTCCCAGTCAGGGCACAGGCCTGGGTTGTGGACTGGGTCCCTAATAGAGGCAATCACGTGGTAATGGTTCTCTTTTTCTCCCTCTTTAAAAAAAATAAATAAAATCTTTAAAAGACTTGACTTGTCTCTAGGGAGAGAAACATCACTGTAGGGTTGCCTCTTGCAGACCTGGCACAACCCAGGGATGTGCCCTGACTGGGAATCGAACCAGTGACTCTTTGGTTCGCAAGCCAGGGCTCAATCCACTGAGCCACACCAGGTAGGTCTGCTTGTGCCTTTCTGCTTAACCTCTTGGTCTTTGCAGAGCACACGTTAACATCACCGGCTGCTTATTTCTACGTGTTACGTTGCCGTTGCTGTTGAATTCTGAGCCTGTAGCTGTGTGTACCTATTTACACGGTCACTTATGACACTTTCAAGCTGGAAATGTTAAAACCCCGCCCTGGTGGCTCTGGGGCTCACCGTGTGTGCGTGTTTCTACGCCGTACGTTCTACCGTGAATAACGGCGAGTGACGTTCACGGTGGCCCAGGGACCCGCTGCCCGACCGCTGGTAACCGTTTACATCAGGATTTGCCCACCTGCTTCCTACCTTCCCCCCATTTACTGGCTAATCCATTTAAAGCAGGTGCAGCGAGTGGGCACATGATTGGAGCCAGGTGCCAATAACGAGAGAGGGTTCTAACCCTCCCCCTCAGGTGTGTGTGCCCGGGGCGGCGTGCTCTCCCAGGTGCCTCCCTCCCCAGCTCCCCGAAACCCCCTCCCTTGTTCAGCCCGCCTCCTTCCCCGCCTTCCCGCGCGGACGCTTCCTGCTGCAGTCTCCTGGCCGCGGCGCGACCTGCCGGCTCCCGGGGTCTCGCTCCCACCAGCGGGAGTGGACGGTGCACGCGGCCCTCTGTCTCGGGTGGGGCCGTCTGGAGTTCCTTCCTCAGTTCACTGGGACGTTTGCTTCTCTCAATCCCTAGCTTGTTCGGAGGGTGCCCCCAGCCCGCTTCTCCCCCTCCTCGCCGGGAGACCTGGGGCCGGTCTCCACGTGGGAGCCTGCAAGGGCAGCCTGGGCCCTGCTGTTCGGTGACAGTTGAGCACAGGGGTGTCACACTCACTTTCACGGGGGCCACGTCAGCCTCGTGGCTGCCTTCAAAGGGCCGAGTGTAATGTTAGGATTGTGTACAGGTGACTGCTCCTTAACCCGGGGCAAGGAGCTCAGCGCTGCCGCCGGGAGGAAACCAGGTGCGGGGCGGATAAAACCAGGCGGAGGGCCGGATGCGGCCCGCGGGCCACGTGCTCACCACCCGTGGTTTAGCAGGAGTAAATGCACGTTTACACGCCGGCAGGTGTGGCTCAGTGGACTGAGTGCCGGCCTGCGAACCAAAGGGTCGCCAGTTGGATCCCTGGTCAGGGCACGTGCCTGGGTTTTGGGCCGGGTCCCCAGCAGGGGGCGCACGAGAGACACCCACAGGTTGATGTTTCCCTCTCTTTCTCCCTCCCTTCCCCTCTCTAAAAATAAATATTTTTTAAAAAACTCAAGTTTCAAGTTTTTCTCTTAAACTCTTTGGAAACAGCACCCCCGTGTCTCTCTGCTCGGAGCGTTCCTGCGGCGGGGGCTGACGCCGCTCCGACCCCCTTCTTTCTCTCCGTGCCGCCGGCGTCCTCGGGAGCGTGGCGCTTGAACCTCCGTTTTCCTGCACGGGGAGCCCTTTCGGTCTCAGACCCCCACCTTTGGACCCGAGGCCATGCTCACGGTGACTTCGGGTCCGTGGTCGCCTCTTCCGGGGAGACGGGCGCCCACCCTCCCTTCCGTGCGCGTTTCTACGTTCCGTGAGGCTCTCTCCCCCTCGGCCTCCCCGCTGCCTGCCGGGAGCGTGTGCTGGGCTGGGGAGCCCAGGGGCCAGCTGAGGCCGCCACCCGCCCCGACCCCGTCTGCACGAGGGCTCGCCGTGAACCGCCTGCTTCTGCCCCCGCTTGGGTCCCGGAAGTTGGCCCAGTTCTCCGGAGTCGTAGCACGTGGCTCCTCCCTCCAGCCTCCTCCCCGACCCGAGGTTCCTCACCTGTCTGTTGGAGGGGCGGGGCTTCCTAGAACCCTCCGCACGTTGCCCCTCGAGGCCCCCCCCCCCGCCCCGGGTAGCTATTGGAGGGGAGGGGCCGGGGGCTACAGCTCACACCCTCGGTGTCTGGCGTGACAATCTGGGTCCAACCCCCTCTACCGGCCACGCGCCCCTTGACGTTCTCTGCCCACCGCTGCTCCTGACCTGAGGTCAGGAGGGACTGCCCCCACCCACCCCCCCCCCGCCCTGGAGTCGGGCACCGCTCCGCCCGCAGGCTCTGGGGCCAGCTGCCGCCCGGGGCTCAGGCACCTCGGCTGCGAGCTGGTCCAGCAGCACCGCCGCCTCCACCACAGCAGCTGTCCCTTGAGAGCTGCCCCTGCTGTCCCTCGAGAGCTCCGGGGAGTGGGGGATCCCCAGCTGCACTCCCACTGCCAGGGAGGAGCAGGGGCCCCAGGGGCCCGGACCGGTGGGGCCGCCCCCATCAGGGGCGGCTCCTGGCCGAGGACCATCAGACCCGCGCACCTGGCAGGTGCACCTGGGGGGCGCCGCGAGAAGCACACACACAGGCCTCGATCAGCGGCTGCTCCTTTCTTACTCACTGGGTTTCACAGCGTACCACAGCCCACCGCCCGGAGGGAGGCCCCTCGGGGCCCCGCAGTCCCCAGTCCGGGCTCCCTGAGGCAGGCAGGAGACGGGCCTCCCTGCACCCAGGGGTGCAGCGGGCGTGTCCGGCTGCCCATAAATACCTTCCCATAAATACGGCCGGTGGCATTCCCAGGTGACAGGCGGGATGCACCAGTCCCAAGGCCTAGCACCAAAGAGCCTCCTCAGGGCACGAGGGCCCCACAGCTGCACCTGCACCCCCAGCGGCCAGCAGTCCGAGCCAGCTGGCGGTGGGGAGGGGCAGGCCCCCTCCGCACAGGCCTCCTGTCCACTGGCCTGGGCTCCGGGCTGGAGCAGCTCCACCAGGCGGAGCCTCCCTCCTGGAGGCCGGGCGATCCCTGCAGGTCCTTGCAGATGGAGAGGCTGCACGGCTGTCCACCGGCCTCGGAAGCAAGGGTGGGCCTCGGTCCTGGCCAGTGGCGTCCCTCCTCGGAGGTCACCGAAGCCCCCGGGGCCCCTCAGTGCGGCACTCAGGAGGGGCACCTCGCTGCCTCTGAGCTAGTGGTCCTCTGGCCTGCTGTGCAGCAGCGTGGGCGCTGGTCTGGGAGGGGCTGCGTGTGAGGCCGCTGCAAGGACAAGAGGCCGAGGGTCAGCCCCAGGCATGGCCGGGGACGCTTCGCACTCCCCCCCACCCCCACTTGCCAGCTCCCCCCAGCTCCCCCTGGGCCATTCTCCGAGGGCCAGAGTCCCCATAAGGGCCTCAGCCTCCTCCTGCTCTGGCCTTGGTCTGCTGATGATGTACCAGTGACGCCACCCAATGCCCCCCAGCCCCCTTACCTGGACTCAGGGCTGGGAACGGGACCCCAGGGAGCTGGGGTGGCCCACCTGAACGCAGACAGACAGCAATCATCTTAGTGCCCCACTCCTGGGGGGACCCCAGTGATGGGAAACCCAGGCCTGCAAGGATCCCCCTCCTATGCACGTGGTGGGGCCTCTCCCCCTCCCCAAATGAGCGCTCCCGGCCCGGCCTTGTCCGGACTTTGGGTGGATGGGGCCTTCACTACAGGTACCTAGCCCGGCCCACTGCAAAGCAGGGGCTGCACCCACTGCAGTCTCTCTGAGGTCAAGGGTGTTCAGGCCATCGGGGCCTGTGGGTGCAGTGCTTCACCTGACCACCAGGTGCCGCCATGGCCATCATTATGTCCTGAGGAGGGTTGGCCCCGCCTTCCTGGCCCCGCCCCAAGTGGGAGGAGCCCATTTGGGGCTGAAGAGGGTGGGGCTGCTCCAGGCCGGCCGCCAGCCACGCCCTGCTGCGAGGCCCCGGGCTGTAGGGTCAATCTTCTCCATCGGCAGCCAGGGTCCCCCCGGGACGGGGAGGGCGGGTGGGCCTGGGTCCGGGGTGGGGCTCGGGGCACAGCGTCCCTGTTCCTCTCTCCTCCGGAGCGCCACTCACCTTGCCGGCACGTGGGCCCCGTGTAGCCATCCACGCAGTGACACTGGCCGCTGACCGGGTCGCAGTCGGCCCCGCCCCCGCAGCCACAGCGCAGCGCGCAGCCTGGGCCGAAGAAGCCGGGCCTGCAGTCTGCGGGGGCGGGGCGGGGGGGACCAGGCTGAGCGCCATCCCCGCTCGCCCCCCTGCCGGCCGCCCTCCGCGGGGGCTGAACCCCAAGCCTCAGTGGCCCTTCCCCGTGGGCGCTCTCACGTGGGTGAGTGCCAGGCACCGAGCGCCTGCCCAGGGTCCCAGGCCCCAGGCCCTGCCCAGGCCCAGCACGGGCAAAGGGGGCCTGGCGGTCAGGGGTGCACCCCCAGGGCAAGACCACATACGGGGTGGCCCCTCCTGTCCCCACCCATGGTGGCAACAGGTCAGGAAGGTCCCCTTCCCACTCTGGGGGGCAGAGGCCACCTGAGGACAGGGCGTGGCCCGGACAGTGGGGGCAGGCGTCCTGAGCAGCCGCTCCCCAGAGGGTAGGGACAGAGGTGCCCCTGCCGGCGGGACCCGAGACTCACCAAGGCTGCAGGTGGCCCCCCTGCGCCCCGGGGGGCACAAGCATTGTCCAGAGACGGGGTCGCAGCCCGCCCCCCCCTCGCAGTCACACCGCTGACGGCAGCCCTCTCCGAACGAGCCCGGCTCACACCCTGGTGGTGGGGGGGGGGGTGCAACGGGCTCAGCGTCTCCTCCCACCCCGCCCCCAGACTGGGTGAAGGCAGGGCCGGGGCGAGGGTGGGCCCCGGGGGGGGCTCGGGGCACTCACCGCTCTCGCAGAACTGGCCGCGGAAGCCGGCGGGGCAGAGACACTGGCCACTGGCCGGGTGGCAGGGGGCTCCGCGGTGGCACTTGCACGGCTCCTGGCAGCCGGCCCCGTGGAAGCCAGGGGGACAGGCTGAGGGAGGGCCAGTTAGAGCTCCGGCCTCAGTTTACCGAGTGAGCCAAGGGCTGGGTTCAGGGGCCTGGGTTCCCCCGCTTCCCCCACCAAGGCCTGCCCCCCCGACCCCCTGACCCCCGTCACAGCCTGGGCTCAGGTGGGAGCTCCATGGGCTCCAGGGCGACCCCACTGTGATCTGGGGTCAGGCTGCCAGGAGCCCGACTCGGCTCAGAGACGTCGTGGGAGGGGTGGGCGCGGGGCCAGGGCCTGCCTGCTGGACTCACAGTGCTCGCAGGCCTGGCCGTAGAAGCCGGGGCGGCAGCGGCAGGCGCCCGTGCTGGGCTCGCAGGTGCCGTTGTGGCGGCAGGAGCACTCCAGGCGGCAGGCGGCCCCGTAGCGCCCGGCGGGGCAGGCTGGGGAGAGCGACGGGGTCGGCCTCCTGCCTCGGACGCACGGGGGCACAAGGGCGGCCCCTGGGGTGCTATCCTGATTGGGGGGACCGGGAGCCGGCCCTCGGGCCTGCCCACCCCCCCCACCCCCGGCCCGGACACTCACCCAGCTCGCAGTGCGGCCCTGTCCAGCCCAGGCCGCAGGAGCAGCTGCCGGTGGCCGGGTGGCACAGGCCCCCGTTTCTGCAGGCGCATGCGTGCTCACAGCTCTCGCCAAACCGGTCCTGGGGACAGTCTGCGGACACAAGCCACGCTAGGAGTTCCGGCTGGGGGCTGGACACGCTCTGAGACCCTTCCCCGCTGGGTCCGACGTGCTCTCCACGAATGTTTCCCGGGCCAGTCTCTGCGCCCAGAGCGCACAGGTGCCAGGGAGTGATGCCAGCCGCCCGCTGCCCAGCCACCCGCACGTCCAGTCAGCACAGACCAGGCCTGACCCAGAGCGGAGGAGGGTGACTCGGGGGGAAGGGGCCCAGGCCCTCCAGGGGCTTTGGGCACCAGCCCAGGCGGTGGGAGGGGGTCAGGGAAGCCTTCCTGGAGGAGGCAGCTCTGCACAGGTGCACCCGGCGCTCCAGTGGCCCCTGTTCACGTCCGACTGACCCGAGGCTGCGGTCCTCCAGGGTGAGGACGTACCCGGCTGGAGCCAGGTCCCGGGGCCCCTGACCCTTTGCTGCCCCAGGCTGAGAAGCAGGGCACGTCGCTGGCCCCTCTGTGAGGACCAGAGGGCGGCAGTCGCTCAGATCTTATGGGGGGGGGGCCAGGCTGAGGGACAGTGGGCGTGGCGGGGGGGGTCCCGCATGCCATCGTGAGCGTCAGCTCTGTGACTGATCCCGAGGCCACCCCACTGCTCCACCAAGGCCTGTGCTCCAGGACCCCTCCACCAGGGCCCAGCCCCTCGGACCAGCGGAAAGGGCCAGAAGGACCCCACCCCGAGGGGACGTCGGCCAGGAGGCTGGCTCCCGTCTCAGACTGAACAGCCACCTGACACCGCCCACTACGGGGCCACAGAGACCCTGTGCCACCCCCACTGGACACGGGGATGCGAACGGGCCACCCGATGGCCTGAGTCAGGGGCCGAGGTCAAGGGAAGGTGTGGGGTGGTGTTGGGTGGCCCGCTGACCCGAGCGGGACACTTGCGGGGGCGGGGAGGGCTCCACGGCAGCCGCGGGTGGGAACGGGCCCCGGGCCCCGCCGCTCCGCCCCACAGCTGGTGGAGGGATACCCGGGAGCGCCTGAGGGGGCGAGCCAGCACTCACCCTGTTCGCAGCGGGCGCCGGTCCTCCCCGGCGGGCAGGTGCAGTTGCCGGTCACGGGGTCGCAGGTCGCCCCCTGCCCACAGCTGCACAGGTGGGCACAGCCGGGGCCAAAGCGGCCCTGGGGACACGCTGCCGGGAGGAAACGGAAGGGTGCGGCCCCCGGCTGGACCCCCTTCTCGCTGCCACGTGGGGACGGGGTGGGGGGCAGGGAGGAGTGTCCCTGTTCCCCTGCCCCCTGCAGCTCTGGCCTCTCCTGGCCCCTGAAGGCCCAGCTGGGGGCCCAGTGAGTCACCGGGGCCTCCATCGCTCCCCACCCGCGTCCCAGACAGGCGGGAAGTCCCCATGTGACTCAGAGGAAGGGCCTGTCCTCGGCAGCAGGCCCGCTGGCCCCCGCACAGCCGTGCACCGCCCCTGGCGGGCACGACCCAGGAGGGGGCACAGCGCACTGCCTGCAGGCGCCCGCAGCCTCTCCCCGCCGGGGGCTCACAGGGGGACTGGGATGGCAGGCAGGCAGGGGGCCGTCCTCCCACAGACCCGAGGGGGGCGCCCTCCAGGGCGCAGGAAGGAGCCGCCCCCCACCCAGCACTCACAGAGGCCACAGTCGGCACCCAGGAAGCCGGTGGGGCAGCGGCAGGCGCCCGTGGCTGCGTCACAGGATCCCCCGTTGAGACACCCACACAGCTGCTCGCAACCGGCCCCGAAGCGCCCGGGAGGGCACCCTGCAGGGGGAGGGGCCAGCTGCAGGGGGAGGGGCCAGCTGCAGGGGGCGGGGCCTGCTGCAGGGCCGAGGGGCTGCGTGTGCCCCTTGGCGCACAGCCCCTGGCCTTCCACCGCCCCCCTGCCACGGGGACACCGAGCGGGCGGTCCAGGCAGCACTCACGTTGCCGGCAGTCAGTGCCATGGTAGCCGGCCGCGCACACACAGATGCCCGAGGCAGGGTCGCAGGCCTGGTTCTTGCTGGGACACTGGCACTCGTGCCCACAGTTCTCCCCGAAGGTGCCCGGCGGGCAGGCTGGGGGGCGGGGGGGGGTGTGAAGTCCAGCGCGGCCCCAGGGTGGCTGTTTTCCCAGAGCCGCCCCCGTCCAGGGGCACACACGGCCTCAGTACCCCCGACTCGGGGCCCACGCGGCCCGGTCGCCTACCCTGCTCACAGCCGGGCCCGGTGAAGCCGGGGGGACAGCGACACTCTCCGGTGACGTGGTGGCAGGCGGAGTCCGGCGAGCACCGGCAGCGGCGGGCACAGGCCTCCCCGAACCAGCCACGCGGGCAGGCTGCGGGGAGACGCGGGCTGGGGTGCAGGGCCCTGGGGCCAGCGTGGGCCCCGAGGGCTTCCCGGGTAGAGGACCCGCCCAGGGTGCTGGCAGAGCTGGGGGCTCACCAGTGTCACACCGCGAGCCCCTCCATCCCGGCGGGCAGAGGCAGGCCCCGGTGACCCGGTGGCAGGTGGCTCCCCGCCGGCAGGCGCAGTGCTCCTCGCAGCCAGCCCCAAAGGTGCCCTCGGCACAGGCTGCAGGGGGGGGCAGCGGGGGGTGCAGGACCCTTTCACGGGGGGCCTCGGGCAGCCCACACAGGATCCCCACCTCCCACAGGACACTGACTACCTGTTTGAGGACTCACACTTGGAGTGGGGCTGAGGCCGCCCCCTGCTGGGCCAGCGGGGCCACTGAGCCCCCCGCACCGGCCCCCAACCAGTCCCACCCATGGCTCTGACATTTGTCCCCTGTCCGGCCGGCGGGGCAGCAGTGGCTGCCTGTGTGCCAGTCCCAGAGGCCACCATTGGGGCACCCGCAGCCACGCTGGCGGCCGGCTCTGCAGCGCCCCGGGAGGCACTCTGCAGGGGGGGGAACAGGTGGGGGTCCCACATCCCTGGGCAGGCTCCGACCCCAGGGCCCACCCAAAGGCTCAGAGCCTGTGTCCTGGTGCTCACACTGCAGGCTGGAGGCCACGCCCAGGACCCTGTCCCCACCCCAAGCGGGGAGCCAGCTGTGGCCACAGAGGGAGCAGGCTGCCTGGGGCCCGCTGGGGTGCCAGCCCCGGCTCCCACGGCCCCACCGGGTCGCCCATCCCTCCTCTGCCCTCCCAGGGCCCAGCGCTCACCCTGCTCGCAGGCCGGGCCGGCCCAGCCGTCCGGGCAGGCGCAGTGGCCTGAGACAGGGTCGCAGGTGCCCCCGTTCTGGCAGAGGCAGGCACGCTGGCAGTTCTCGCCGTGCAGACCCGCGGGGCAGGCTGGGGGTGCGGAGGGCTGGGGTGGGTGCAATCCCCCGCCACCGCCAGGCCCTTGGGGCCTTGGCCCTCTCTCCATGGTGGGGGGCGGGGGGACGGCCCAAAGCCCAACATCAAACAGGGGTGGGGTGGGGTGGAGACCTCTCCTACTGGTGCCCCTTGGACTGCCTGCCCCGGGCCACCCGTGCTCCCCACCCCAGCTGTGGGGGGCTCAGCCCCGAAGGTGGGGACACGGGTCCTCAGCAGCCACTGTTCTTCCCCCCAAGGGAGCAAGGGAGCCAGGGGGCCCAGGGTGCTGGGCGGGGCTTACCCTGCAGGCAGCTGGGACCCGTCCAGCCAGGGCCACAGTGGCACCGCCCATGCACTGGGTCACAGGAGGCCCCGTTGAAGCAGGAGCAGGCCTGGCTACAGTTGTGCCCGTAGGTGAAGGCCGGGCAGGCTGCAGAGAGGTCAGCGGTCAGGGGTCAGAGTTCAGGGGACACGCACCCTGGGAGGGGCCGCCCCGCTCTCCGGCCTGGGCATCGCTCCAGGGTGACTCCGAGTAGGGACCACCACACCGGCCCTCGTGGGCCGAGCGTGGGGCTGACGGGGCCTCACGCACTCTGGGCGCAGCGGGGGCCCCGGCGGCCCGCGGGGCAGAGGCAGGCGCCGCTCGCAGCGTCGCAGGGCACCCCGGCGGCGCAGTCACAGGCCTGGTGGCAGTCCAGTCCGAAGAAGCCGTCCGGGCAGGCTGTGGGGGAGGGGTGGTGACGGGACACAGCCAGGTGCCCGGACCCCGCCCACAGCCCTGGGCCCGGGCCCCGCCCACCCCTGCTCACCTCGCTCACAGAAGGTCCCCCTCCAGCCAGCTGGGCAGGTGCAGGCCCCGCCGACGTGGTCACAGTCCCCCCCGTGCTCGCACTGGCACCGCCGCTCACAGCCCGGCCCAAAGCGGCCTTGGGGACACCCTGAGACACACAGCCCCCCCAACCCCGCCATCAGCCCAGAGGATGGGGAGCCCCACCCTGTCCTGCCTGGGCCTCCGCCACCCCCGCGGGGGTAGGACAGAGGGCCCGGCCCGGGGAGAAGCCCCTTCCTGCCCCAGGGTGCTGGGCTCCCCTGCCCCCACTCTGCCCAAGCAGGAAGTGAGCCCCAGTGGGGCAGGAGCCCCAGGGTGACCTTGGGGACACTTGTGGGAGGACTCGCCCCAGGCCCAGCTCGTCTCCCCCACTCGGCCACAGGGGGCCCAGGCAGAAGGCATGGCCCTCGGTCCTCAGCAGCCACGCTCCTCCCGGCTCCCGGGGCCCCATGGGGCGTGACAGACCCTCCTCCCCAAGCCCACTACTCCAGGGGGCCCCCTGTTGGGCCAGGAGCAGGGGAGGGGGCTCGGGTGAGTAGACCCCCGGCTGTGCGAGGACGACAGGGCAGGGCCTGTGCCCCGGACACTTGCATGTGTGTGTGCGCGCTCATGTGTATGAGCATGTGTGCAAACGTGTGGTGTGGGCACACATGCATGCGTGTGCACGCATGCACAGGGTGCACGCTGCGTGCTGGAGTGTCGGCGTGCGGAGTGCACTCACGCTGCTCACACCGCGGGCCCAGGTAGCCAGGCTCGCACAGGCAGGCACCGCTGACGGCGTCGCAGCCCCCGTGGCCCGCGCTGCAGTTGCAGGTGTGGCTGCAGTCCGGTCCCCAGCGTCCGCTGTCGCAGGCTGCAACAGACCCCCCGTCACCCTACGCGGGCCTGCTGGAGGGCGGCGGCAGGGCTTCCCGCCGGCCCCCGGCCCCCCGGGGCGCTGGATGCGGCCACCTACCTCTCTGGCAGCTGAGGCCGGTCCACCCCGGGGCGCAGCTGCAACGCCCGGTTGCTGGGTCGCAGGGCCCGTCGTTGGCACAGGAGCAGCGGGTGCGGCAGCCGGGCCCGAACCAGCCCGCGGGGCACGCTGCGGGGGCGGGGGTGGGTGAGCGGGGGCGGGGGCCGCGGCTCCCCTGGGCCAGGGCTTGGGCCCAGCGTGCGGCACTCACCGTCCTGGCAGCGGCTGCCCGTGTAGCCGGGGCGGCACCGGCAGGCTCCAGTCTCAGGCTCACAGGTGGCTCCGTGCTCGCACGCCGGGCAGATCTCCTGGCAGCCGAGCCCCCAGCGGCCCTCGGGGCAGTCTAGCCCCCCCCCCACAGCCGGTCAGTCTCCCCAGGGCCTTGCTGGGCATCTGGCACAGCACCGAGCCCCGCGCACAAGAGTGGGAACGGGAGGGACAGGTCGCAGCCACTGCCCGGAGGGGAGCCCCAGCCTGGGGTGGCCCCTCAGACCCCCGTGCAGGAAGTGGGCAGCCTGGAGGGTGAACCACAGCGCCCCGGGAAGCGCTGGGGCTCTGCCAGCCAACCCACCCCCACTCCCAGGCCGCAGGGGGCCGGCAGGGGCTCCCGCAGCTGCTACCGAGGGACCTGGGGTCAAGGTGCCCCCGAAGAAGCCCGGGCTGGGGTCTGTGAGCACGACGGGGGCTGGAGCCTGGAGAGGCGACACAGGGAGGCGAGGGGGCCCAGGACGTGCCTGCCACTCACCTTCCCCACAGGCGTCCCCCGTCCGCCCCGGCGGGCACAGGCACTGCCCGGTGACCGTGTTGCAGAGGGCCCCCCCACAGGAGCAGGAGCCCGAACAGTTCACGCCAAATGTCCCCACTGGGCACTCTGTGGGGGCAGGGGACACGACTGGCCTCAGCCGCCTGCACGGGCAGCTGTGCTCCCCTCCCAGAGCCCCCCACCCTGGCGCCTGCTTCCCGGCCCAGCTGCTGGGCACAGCTGGGGTCCCCAGGGGAGCAGGGCAGCCTTGGAGTGCACAGGGCGAGGGACACAGAGCACGGTGGGCGGGGTCTGTATGGGGCGGGGTGAGGGTCACCCTGGAGGGTGCAGCGGGGCAGGGCTGGGGGCAGGGCTGCCAGAGGGCCGGGCTGAGGCAGGAGCTGGGCATCTAGAACCCTGGAGAACGCCCAGGAGCTGGTGACCGTGGCTCTGCCCTTCCTTCTGCCACCTGGGTCCCCCGGGTCCCCCGGGTCCCCCACTGTGGCCCCTCAGAGCCCTGCCCCCCAGCTGAGGGGTGGCAGGGTTTGGGAAGGAGCGGCCCGGGAGGGTTCGGTGGCGGCGGGGCCTCAGGGAGGAATGTGGGTGCCCTGATCCCCAGCCCGCCCCGCCCCGGGAGCACGCCCCGTGTCCGCCTCGGCTCGGGGCACCCACTCCGGCGCTGCTGGAAGGAAGCCCTCCCAGGCGTCAGGCCACGCGACACCCGGAGAGGGCGGCCACGCCACCCTCCACGCCCCTGTCCCAAAGCATCAGACCCCACGGAGCAAACCTCCCGTGCGTGCAGGGCCCCGAGGGGGCTCTGGGAGAGAGGACACACCGAGAGGAACCTAGTCACGAGGACCCGGCCCCTGCAGGCACCCCCCACGCCCCCTTTACGGGGCACAGGGGCGCATGCACACAGGCACCACGCTGTGGGCCCCAGACGGGGCGCCCCACGGGGCTGGCCAGAGCCGCCCCGCCCGGCCCTGGGACCTCCCCTCCGCTGACCGGGGGCAGACGCGTGTCTGCCTGGCTAACTCTTTCCAGGCCCAACGACGGCGGGTGGGGGGGGGGGCATCCCGCCTACGAAGACCACGTGTGTCATTTCCCGTGGCTCATCCTTGGGGCACTGAAGCCTTTCAGAGAGAAAAGGGGGAGAGGGAGTGGGAAACCGCAGGGCAGGGCTGGGGTGAGGCCCTCCCGCGTCCCAGCGAACAGGCCGCCGGCGGGGCGGGTGGGGGCTGGGAGGGAGGGCTGCAGCGTGGGGGGTGGGGGGCCGCACGCGTGCACGGGCGTGGGGCAGGGAGGGGCGGAGGGCATCGGGAGAGGCAAGCGGGCCCCCGCTCCGTGTGGGCCACCGGGCCCCGATGGTGCCCTCGAAGGCAGGACAGCAGAGGCCAGGCGGCCTGGACCCTGGGACTCCGCAGAGACCAGGTCGGGCTGGTGTGGGGGGGCGTCCTGGCCGGGTCCCCACATGGCCCTCCTGTACCCACGGGACCGAGAGCCTCCACAGGGTCATCACGGGGGGCTCGGGGACCACGACACGGGAGTGGCCTGGCCTGGGTGCAGAGAAGAGACGGCCCCCTGGCTGAGACTGGGCAGACCCCCGTGCCCATCCTGACTCCCCAGGGGTCGGGGGCTGGGAGGCAGCTCTGACTGAGGGGACAGGCCTGTGGCTGCAGGGAGCTCAAGCCAGCTGTCCCCTGGCTGTGGTCACAGCATTCCCACCATGACGGCCCGCACCCCTGGTCCTGTCCACCGGGGGCCGACGGGTGTGGACAGCGTGACCGCAGTGTGCCGAGGGTGGTCCCAACCTGCCGGCGCTCCGCCCCTGACTGCAGCCCATGGCGGCAGCGGCCCTGGCACTCACGCGGAGGCCTCTCCCCTCATCTCAGGAGGGCATGGGAAGGGGCCCCGCGCCCCCAGCCTCACCCCCGGGTCTGCACCCACTCCCAGGGCCCCAGGCGCCCTCAGGGCCGCCCACACCCACACCAGCAAGGTGGCCCGGACTCAGCTCTGAGCTGCCACCCCCGGGACCGGCTGCCTGTCTGGCTGGCTCGGGCCACGAGGGGCAGCCCCTGAACCCCAGCTTCAGCCCAGAGCGCACTCAGCGCTCCCGGGGAAGGAGTGAGCGGGCGAGCGAGGGTGTGGTCATGGAGAAGCATCAGCCCTTCTCCAGGCGGGGCCCCGGGCACACGCACCGGTCCCCACCGGCCCGAGTGAGTCCGCAGGTGCCCGGCCACAGGCAGCCCAGCAGCAGGACGCGGGAGGGCGGGGACCAGGGTGGCACCGCAGGCCAGGCTGCAGGGCAGACTCAGCTCCAGGTCGCAGGGGCACCGGAGCACCCACACCCCACCCGGACCCCGGCGCCAGGGGCCCGCCGCTCACCTTGGTCACAGTCCTCCCCGCGGTAGCCGGCAGGACACGGCTTCCCACACGCGCCGCTGACGGGGTCGCAGGCCAAGCCCGGGGGACAGGCACACGCCTGCTGGCACCCCGGCCCGAAGGAGCCCGGCTCGCAGGCTGCAGGGGCGAGGAGAGGCGGGGGGAGGCCTGCGGGCTCAGCTGGCCCCGGAGCCGCGCCCCGCCCCGCCCCTCCCGGCCCCGCCCCGCCCGCCCCGCCCCTCCCGGCCCCGCCCCGCCCCACCCCCGCCCCGCCCGCCCCCCCCCCCGCCCCTCCCGGCCCCGCCCCGCCCCACCCCGCTCCGCCCCTCCCGCCCCGCCCCGGCTCTCACCGTGCTGGCACCGCGGGCCCCGGAAGCCCGCCTTGCAGAAGCAGCGGCCGTCCTTCCCGTCGCACGCCCGCGTGTGTGGCTGCTCGCACTGGCACTCCTCCGAGCAGCCCGGCCCGAAGGCCCACGGCGGGCAGGCTGCGCCCACGGAGCCGTGAGGGGGCTGCCGCCTGGGCGCCTGGTCCCCCCCCCCCCCCGCCCCGGCCCCCGACCGCCCCAGCCCTGCTTCCCTGGTCCGGGCCCCTGGGACCGGCCCCGGGCCGCCCCAGCCACCCGTGTCCCAGAGGCCGGGCCACTGCGCCCACCGTTTAGAGACGAGAAACCGGGTCTCGGTGGAGTTAAGGGATCCGCCCCAGGTCACCCCACTTCCCAGCTGGGAAACGGTTGGGGTCCCCGTGCACCCCGGCACAGAGCTGCTGGGAGGAAGCCTCGCATCGTCCCCTGCCGGCCCACCGCTCCTCCCCTCCCGGGGGCTGCGAGCCCCACCGGGCCTCAGGGCCCGCCCTTGCACACCAGAATCTCCAAAACCCAACAGGGGCCCGGTGTCCCAGGAGCCCCCGAGGGAGGGCGGCCATCTCCCCCACCCGGGCTGGGCCCCCCACACCCAGACGCCCTGGAGGCCGGCAGCTCTGTGGCTCGGGGGCCCCAGACCCGGGGTGGACACCACATCCCAGCCAGGGGCCCCGCGGAGCCCCCGCCCTCATCTGCAGGTGGTGAGCAGTCAGACACCAGCCGGACTTGGGGCAGTGGGGCACAGTGGCGCCGCCCTCCTGGACACAGGAGGGAGACTCACCCAGGTGGCAGAAGCGGCCGTAGAGCCCGGGGTCACAGAGGCAGGCCCCGTAGAGGCGGTGGCAGCGGCCCCGGTTGGCGCAGTGGCACTTCTTGCGGCAATGCTTGCCGTAGAAACCCCTGGGGCAGCCTGGGGGGCGTGGCCTGTTGTGAGTGCCCGCTTTGAACGGCCCCCCACGCCAACGGAGATGCTCCAATGGGCCCCAATGCCCAGCGTGCACGCCAGGAGTGGCCTGGCCACCAGGCACGGCTGGAGGGCTTTGGGGCCACCGGCAGCCTAGGAGCCCTGCCTCCCAGCCAGGGAGAAATCAGAGGGTGCACCAGGGCACCAGGAGGGCAGGGCAGGGACGGGAGGGGCTCCCGGGACGTGGCCGTTGGCCCCGGCTGGCCTGCTCCCTCCCCCACTCCATGGTCTGGACAGTGGCCAAGGCAGGAGGCAGGCACGCGGCTCAGCACGCACACGGCTCAGCACACATGTGGACACACATGCACACAGGCCCCGTCCCGATGCCCCGTGTCTGCCCAACATCCACAGCATCCGGACCTCTGTCCCTCAGTGGCCACCTCACCCCACCCGACCTCTAGACCTCCAAGCGGGAAGGACACTCGGCCTCAGCTGGCCAGGGTCCCGGGCATCAGCTCAGGGGCCAGGATGAGGAGAGGGCTCTGGCCATCCTTCCCAAAGCACTTCCCTGACCGAGTCCCGCTGCTGACAGGCCACCCGGGCCGGACGGTGACCCCGAGATACGCCCCCGTCCCAGCCCCCGCATCTCCAGGGGGGCCCATCCCAGCGTAGCCACGCCAGTCGAAACCCAGCGGCAGGCGTCCTTAGAAGAGGAAGGAGCGGGGGCCGCGGGGGCGGGGCAGCCTGGAGGGGGGCGGCCGCAAGCCCAGCACACCTGGACCAACCAGGGGCCGCAGAGCGCCCACCCCTGAACCCTGGCCTGCCTGGCCTCTCCGGGCACTGGCCTCCGCAAGCCCACCTGCACAGGACCCCAAGGGAGACCCCGGGCTCCAGGACGCCACAGCCTCAAAAGCAGAAGCACTGAGATGCAGGCCCTTTGCCGGCCTGGCGGTCTCGGGTCCCTCCAGGGCCCACCCCACAGGCGGGTGCTACCAGGCAGCGGGGTCTCGACCCTCAGGACGGGGACAGTTGAAAGGGAGAGAGACAGCGAGGCTGCCGGAGCCAGGACGGCTGAGTAGGACAGGAGGCAGAGCCCCGCCCAGCTGCCCTGGATTTTGAAACCCGCCCCGCACCACTCATGCGGGCCACCCCCAGGCATGGGCACGGGGGCCCCTGACAGCTACCCTCCGCCTGCTGCGGCAGGAGGTTCTCCGTTACATCAGCAACATTCTCTGGCAAAAGAGGCGGAATTTTAAAGGACTGGAGACTTGAAGAAGCATCAGTCACCTGAGAAAATCATTTCTGGGGACCCCCAAGTTCCTCCAGAGATGCTGACACTTCAGGCATAGAAAGGATGTTCCCATCACCCTGTGCAGCAGCAGGCCCAGGTGTGACGCCTCCTGCAAATCCCACCCAGCCATCGTACAGCTGTACTTGAATGCTTCCAGGAATGGGGAGCTCACTACCTCTCTGGGCAACCCATTCCAAAAGTGAGATGCTTCTGCCAGGTCTTCACCACCTGCGATCACCTGACCCCAGGACACTTAGCAAACCGCGACAACGCAGCACCTCTCTCCAGGAAGGGCCCCCCACTACCCGCGCTGCCCCCCCACCTCTGCGGAAAGAAGGTGAGTGGAAGAAAACCAGGAGGGGGCTGAGAGGGGCACCTTCCCCTCCTGCCCACCCCAGGGACAGCGCCAGCACCCAGAGGGCTGCACCCACCGTCCTCGCAGTGGGCTCCGCCGACACCCGGGGGGCAGCGGCAGGCCCCCGTCACAGGGTCGCAGGTCCCGCCGTTCTGGCAGCTGCAGGCGGAGCTGCAGTTCTTGCCGAAGGTGTCTGGGGGGCAAGCTGCGGGCGACAGGGAGGGGCAAGGCTGGGGGCCTCCCCGGCAGGACCCTCAGCCCCGAAACCCCTCCGGGGACACGGAGACACCAGCCTAGTCCAGTCCAGAAGCAACTGCCCGGAGCGGGAAGCAGGACGTCTGTGCCGTGACGCCCACATGCAGGGCAGGGGTCACCGACCCGGGGCCACACCCTGTCCCTCTGAGCACCAACCTGTGTGCCTCCCCCACCAGCGCTTTCGACAGGCAGACCCCGGACAGTCCCTCAGACCCCCACACCGAGCGGCCCGGGCCGGCCCTGCCCTGGGGGCAGTGGGGGTTGCGGGGCACAGAGTCTGGACGGGGAGGGGCAGTTTGGCCCACCGAGCTCCAGCCACCTGCAGGCTGTGTGGCCCGGGGAAGACGCTGCCCCCACCGGGAGAAGGGGGCACTGGCCCAGCCACCAGCTCCCCTTCACCAGACACCCCTCATGCCCCGGCCCCTGTCCGTGGCAGCGTCTGGGAGGGCCAGACGCCTGGCCCAGGGCTGGCGGTCCGCAGACACAGCGAGTGGGGAGTCCCGGGGCCAGCAGGCAGGAGCCCAGGGAACAGGCTCCGGCCAGGTCCCGGGCTCTCGGGGCACCGCCCCCGCCCCGCCCCCACCCCGCGCCTCACTCTCGTTGCAGACGAGCCCGGTCCAGCCCTCGGGACAGTCGCAGCCGTCCAGGCCGGGCAGGCAGGTCCCTCCGTTGCCGCAGTCCTCGCAGGTCAGGCTGCAGTCGGGGCCGAAGGCGTCCTCCAGGCAGACTGGGGCGGGAGGCACGGGGGCCTCAGGCCTTGCCTGGGCTCAGGGGCTCAGGGGGCGGAGGAGGGGCCCACAGGGTGCCCTCCACCCACGGAAGCCCCCGGTGGGAGAGAGGGGTGCGGAGCCAGAGGCCGGGGCCTGGGGGGGCCCTAAGCCAGGAGCCCAGGGTATGTCCAGCCCAGGCCCAGCCTGACGCGCTGTGAGCGCTGCCGTGTGGCTGGGCCTCTCGGCCTTGGCCAGACAAGGTCTTCTTCGTTCGTGCCCGCGGCCGCCACCACCCCCCCCAGGAGCGGAGCCCACCGCTCACCGAACTTCTCCTCCAGCGTGTGCTCCCCCCGGGCCTCCGCCTCCACGGCCCCGATGTCGTCGTCTTGGAAGAGGTGGGACAGCGTGTCCTGCAGCACCGAGACGTGCGGCAGCGGCCGCGCCAGGGGCAGCCGGCCGTCCAGGTCCACCTCGGGCATGTCCAGGGCTGCACGGGACACAGAGGCCCCTCAGCCCCCGCCACCTGCCCGGGCTCACAGACGCCCCTGCCCCTCGGTGACCAGAGCTGGCCCAGGGCCCGAGCCCCACGCAGGGCCCCTCCTCACCCTGGTCTTGGGCAGCGAGAGTCCCAGCTGCCCTCCTGATGCTACTTCTCAGGGTAAGAAGAGGCCCCGGCACTAAGCCCCTGGCCCGGCTGTGGCCCGGCCCCACCCCGTATCTAGGGCCCAGAGCGTGGACGGGAGGACAGGAGCACAGCTCTGCCCCCCCCCCCCGGACGCTGTCCTCCGTCCCAGGACAATGTCCCTTCTCTCGCTGGGGCAGACCAGAAGTCGGACCTCAGTGACACGCTGCCTGCGGGCCGCCTGTCTCAACAGAGCCCCCCAACCCCGGCAGCCGCCGCCCCGGCCTGTCCCCCGGTGGGAGGCGGGGCTGATGGCGGTCCAGCCAGCAGGAAGGTGGGTGCCAAGAAGGCAGGGCGGACACTGCCCCGGGAAGGGCCCGCGCGGCGGCCAGCAGACTCACGGGAGCAGCCCCGGCGGTCCTCGTCCAGCCGGAAGCCGGCCTCGCAGGAGCAGCGGAAGGAGCCGGCCAGGTTGGTGCAGCGGTGGTCGCAGCCCCCGCGGCCAGACGCACACTCGTCCACGTCTGCGGGCACACGGGGCTGCTGGGTGACAGCCCCGCCACAGCCGTCCCCCCACCCCAGGCTCTCGGCGACGGTGGACGCCCTGCCCGAGGGCGGCCAGGCTGGGAGCAGCCTGGGGTGGGGGCCCTGTCCCCCGAGACTGACCAGCGACCCCAGGTCAGGGTCCACCGGGCCAATATGGACAGCCGTGCAGACAGAGGCAAGGCGCGGGCCACCCCCGCTCACCCTCACACCCGCAGCCGTCGGGGAGGAGCCGGTAGCCGGCGTAGCAGCTGCACTCGTAGCCGCCGGGGCTGTTGGTGCAGACCTGCTGGCAGCAGGGCGCGTCGGCACAGTCGTCCACGTCTGCGGGGACACGCGGGAGCCCGCTGCACCCCGGCACGCCCGGCGGGCACGCCCACACGCACACCCACGGGCACCCGCAGGACTCACGCCCGGCTGGGGGGGCCAGGCAGGGACTGGGTGGGGGTGCCCAGTCCATCTTAGAGGCAAAGTCGCCCTGTGGGGAGCAGACCCTCCCACTCCCCGGTGTTTGGGGTGCAACTCCCAGTGCCCGGGGGAGCCCCCCTGGGGCCGCCCGGGGGCCGGGGGCAGAGAGAGCTCAGGTGGGACCAGAGGGACGTCCGAGTCAGGGCCCCGGCAGTGGCGCGCCCCGGGGCGGGGGCGGGGCGGGGGCGGGGCGCACCGATGCACGTCTTCTGGTCCTCGTCCAGCCCGTAGCCGCGGGGGCAGGTGCACAGCGGCCCCTCGCTGCTGTGGCTGCAGCCGTGGGAGCAGCCGCCGTTGTCCACCTCGCAGCTGTTCACGATCTCCATCTCGATCCCTGACACGAGACCCACCCCCGGGACGTGGGACCCGGTCTGGGTGACGCCCCCCCACTGATCACGGTCTGCCCTGCCCTGCCCTGGCCCGGCAGGAGCCCCCGGGGCCCCTCTGCTGGGAAACGGGCAGCTTGGAGCCCCGGGCAGGCTGGGCCCTGGAGCCCCCTGCCCTCCTCCTCTCCCCCACTCAGCAGGGCCGCTGACTGACAAGGAAGCCAGGCCACAGCAAGCGGGTAGCTGGGGGGGCCTCGGAGCCGACCTGCCACCCCGGGTCACCGCTACACCCCGGCGTGCCCGCGCCCACCGCCCGGGGCCACTCACTGTAGCACTGCCGGCCGTCGGCCCCCAGCTCGTACCCGGCGTGGCACACGCACTTGAAGGACCCTTGAGTGTTGAGGCAGCCGTGGGCACACTGGGCCAGCCCCGCCGCACACTCGTCCACGTCTGCACGGGAGAGACCACGCTGGGGGCTCTGGGCCGCTGGCCCGGGAGGTGCACTCCCAGGGGCAGTGACTCCGTGGGGAGGGGACCCTTGTGTGGGAAGGGGCCTCACCCACCCTCTCCCCCTGCCCCGGCTCCGCGGCCCCGGGCCCGGCCGGCCCCTCTGTGCACCCGGTCCTCACCAAGCTCTCCAGGGCTGGGAGGGCGCGGGGCAGTCGGCACACCAGAGCCCACCAGCTTGAGCACAAGGCCCTGCCGTGGGCACCAGGCAAGACTCTCTCCTCTCAGAGCCCTGGGCCCCTCGGCCGTGCCCACCGCACTCCACCAAGACCCCTGTGCAGGGCCTGGCCAGGAGGGACCACTCCACACTGCCTCTGGGGCCAGCAGGGGCAGGTGCCCACCAACGGCACCGTGCGGTTATCAGTGCGGACCCCCAGGACCCACGTCCCGGGGAGCCCGGCACTGCTCTGGCCACGCCGCCACAGTTCCTCGGGACGAAGAGGCTGACACTCGTCCTTGCCTCCTGCTGAGCCTGCCAAGCCACCTGCATCCAGGGTGACACTGGCAAAGATCCCCGAGACGCTCCTCCCTGCAGCGGGTGCCGCGTGGAACCGCACCTGCGGCCCACCACCTGAGCGTGCACAGGGACCCGCCCCCACGGCCGCTCCTGCAGAGCCACGTGTCACAGAGGGGAGTGGGGACACCCGGACGTCCTGGGACGGGGGAGCAGCCAACTCCGCGCCACAGCGCCCGGCTGGGACCCCTGCCGCCTGGGGTGGGGGGCGCGCTCTCGAAAGCAGCGCCCGGCACATCAACGAAACCGTGGCGGCTGGGGGCTGGCGAGCTGTGGCCGGCTCGGGGCGCTGCTTCCCCGCTTCTCCCCTCAGTCTCCTGCCGGGCAGGTCTCGCTTAGGCGACCCCAGAAACACCGAAGAGCACGCACTCAGCTGCGGCCCGCCAGCTGCGGCTCAGACGCGGCTGAGTCCGCAAGCAGCCCCTTCAGTGCGTCCCGGTCCCCGGGCCCCCCAGGGGACGGACCAGCCCCACAAGGCCACGCGGGCCGCGGGACGCAGCCAGGCTCTCCCGCGGGGAAGGGCGTCCTACCTTCGCAGGCCTTGCGGTCGGCTGCCAGCTGGTAGCCGGCGCGGCACGCGCAGTGGGCGAGGCCCCGCAGCGCCTGGCAGGTGTGCATGCAGCCGCCGTTCCGGTCCGCGCACGGGTTCCTGCCTGCGGTCACGGCCGGGGGGGGCAAAGCGCAGAGATTGGGGTGGGAGGTGGGGGGCTGACTCCTGCAGACTCCAGGGTCCTGCCCCAGGGGCCCGCGCCCCTCCCCGCTCCAGTGTGCCAGGGGGCCAGTGGGTCTCCCTCCCTCAGAGGCAGGAGCCCCCGAGGCGCCCCAGACGAGACAGATCCAGCAAGCCTCTTCCCCCGCCGGAGCTGGCGTGCCGCCAGCCCCCTCGGCCTCCTGGCCCGGTGCCACCTGCACCCACGGCCGGCCTGGCCCCTCGGGCCCACCCGTACACACCCCTGGCCTGGCCCCCGAGAGGCCAGAGGGTGGGGGGCACTGTCTCGGCACCTGCTCCACCCTGCCCTCCACTTGCACGTCACAGGGGCACCCTGACCCCACTCTATCAGCGAAGCCCCCCTCTTTTTTTAACAGGCAGCCCGAGAAACCAGGACAAGGTGCCAGAGGGGGCCTGGCCCGCCTCCGCCACCCACCCAGGGGCCTCGGGCCTGCGTCCCGCCCACCCCGCCCAGCCCAGGGCGGGTCTCAGACTGAGCACCACACAGGATGTGCCCATCCTGAGCGATCCCAGAGCACCCAGCGGCGGGCAGGCGGGCGAGGCCCCCTTCCCGCCCCGGAGGCTGAGCCGGGCGGTGCTTCCTGCCTGCACCCCAGCCCCGGCGCCAGGGCTCCTGGCGGGGCTGTGGGGGTGTGGGACGGGGCCCGCCCCAGGGCGGCGCACACTCACGGACGCAGCGCCTGCCGTCCTCCTGGAGCTGGAACTCGGGCCGGCACTGGCAGCGGTGCTGGGTGACCGTGAGCTGCACGCAGCTGTGCTGGCAGCCCCCGTTGCCCACGGCGCAGGACGGGATGGCTGGGGACGCAGAGAGGGGCCGCTCAGCCCCCGGAGCAGGGGGTGACGCTCGGCTGAAGGACGCTCTGAGCCCCTCCACCCGCCCACCTCCGCCCCAGGCGTGGGGCTTTGAGAGGGCCACATTGTTCCCGTCTGGCTCCCCCCGGGCACGGGGGATGCAGGCCCACAGTCCAGCTGTGGAGCCTCTGACCCCGGCCCGCCCGAGGACAGCCTCTTGGCGAGAGCCGGGCACCATCCAGCACCGGCATGTCCCAGACTCAGAGGCAGAGCAGGCCGGGAGGCTGCCTGGAGGAGGTGGCAGGCCACAGCAAGGGGTGGTAGAGGCCCAGACGTTCCTCTATTCTGGTCGTCATGTCTCAGCCGAGGGGCAGGCGTGGGGTTTCCACGGACAGCCACTGTGGCCCGCAGGCCGAGTCCCCGGCTCCCGACCGACCGTGTACCTGCAGCCCACCCAGACCGCGCCCACGGCTCCCAGCAGTCGTGCGGACAGCGCTGGGTGAGACTGCAGAGCCAGGGACCCAAGTCCCGGTCAAGGACACCAGTAGTCCAGGCCTGCATTTGCGGGTGCCCACAGGGTGGGCCCTGCCGGGTCAGCCCGGCCGAGTGGCGCCCCTGAGCCGGGTGGAGGGGCTGGGCTGTGCCGGGGAAGGACACGCTGAGTGAGGCCGGGTGCCCGGGGCGGGTGCCGGGCCTCTGGCAGCCCCATGAAAGCTCTGGTCGTGGCCTCGTGGTTAGGGTAGGCGTCGGCCCAGAACTCGGGAGCAAAACCACAGGAATGCGGGCCCTGCGGGCCCGGCAGGCCCGGCACGGGGCAGACCTGGTCCTGTCCCTGCAGCAGTGCGGCCGCCGGGGGCGGGGCCTCCCCCACCCCGCCGAGACGCCCCTGTGCCATCATCGGACCCCGGGGCGAGCTTGGGAGCCAGGGGCACGGGCCAGGCACTGGGGGACAGGACTCTGAGGCCAGGGGAGCTGGGCACGGCACGGCGCCCGCACGCAGAGCCCTGGGGCGGCCGCGGGGCTGGGGAGAGGCTGCAGCCGCGCTGTCTGCCAAAAGCAAAGCTTCCTTCAAAGCAAGTATGTCTGAAAAAAGCCAAGCACCGCCTGCAACACATGCCCTGTTTCCCCACGTGCGGCGAGCGGGTGGGGAGGGAGACGCCGGGGTGGCTGGAAGGGCCCTGTGTCCTGGTCACACCTGGCACCCACACGTGCCGGGGAGAAGCAGCGGAGACCCGAGGACCGGGCAGGACAGAGGCAGGACAGGGCGGCCACCATTCAGGTCAACCCTGAGCCTTCCCCCTACCTGCCCGCCCACCCCCCCGACTCTGCCCTGACCCCCAAACACCTGCCTGCCTCCCCGCTGCTTAGGCCAGCCCACCACACCAGGGGGTTCCCAGCACAGCCTGACCCAGTCCTGCCCCCCACGGGCTCTGTCCGTGCTCACACCCCAGCCCTGCTCGGGACTCCTAATAGGAACCAGACTCCTGCCTGGCAGGGCAGGCAGGCTCACAGACACCGGGGCCTGGAGCCCCAGGCAGGGGGCCAGCCGGGCCGGCACCTCGGCCCGAAGGAGGACCCCAGCAGTGGTGGCTGGGCTGGCAAGAAGGCCCTCGGGACGGGCCCACGGGCAGCCCGGCACGGAGCCCACCAGAGTTCACGGGGGAGGAATCGCAGGCAGGTGGGCGCGGGCGGCAGGGGTCCAGGCTCCCCGTGCCACTGCGCACCCTCCCTGGCCACCGCTCCCCTCTCTGCTGCGCACATCCTAGGGTTCCAGGTGCCCCCGGGAAGCAGCCGCGCCCGGCCAGCGCCGCCTTGTGCGGCCTGGGCCAGGCCCCCAGGAAGCTGAGCCAGGCACATCTCTCAGGCGCCAGGCCGTGCCGCTCAGGGAAGGGCCCGCCGCTGTGTGACCAGGGTCTCCAGAGCTGGGGGGGACACTTCCAGGCCCCTGAATCCTCTGAGTCCTGGGGACCCCTGCCCGGGCAGTCCCGCACACGAAGACCACACTCGGACCTGACCCAAGGCTGAGAGCCCAGTGGGAGACGGGACATTAGGTGGTCCGCGGCCCCGGGTGGGCTGAACACTCGCGCCCCCAAAACTCAAGCCCACACGTGACCCTATTCAGAGGGAAGCCCCCGTGGAGGTCATTGAGGTTACACGAGGCCACGGGGCGGGGCCCCGACACCACAGGAGACCCGAGACCTGTCCGTCTCCCTCTCTGCCACATGAGGGCCTGGTGGGAGGGGCCTGGTGGGAGGGGCCTGGAGCTTCCCGCCTCCAGGACGGTGAGAAAATTCACGTCTGTCGTTTACGCCCCCCGAGTCCGTGGTGTTTGCCACGGCAGCCGGAGCTGGCCGACCCGCCCTCAGTCCCCCAGTTCGGGGCCCCAGGCTTCATTCAGTCAGGCAGGGGGTGGCAGGGGTCTAATAGAGCCGGGCTGCACTTCCTCCCCCTGCCAGCAGTGGTCCCCCTACTCGGGAGCCTCGGGCGTGAAGCCTTGAGATCGGCGAGGGAACCGTACCTCCCCTGAGCAGCAGGAAACTGGATGCCTAGGAGACAAGGGTCCCACAAGGCGGAGGCCCACTCTGTCTCCGCCAGTGGTTGTCCGCTCTTGGGGGTCGGGAGTCAGTGCCTGAGGCCTGGCCGTGGCTTTGGGTCAGAACGCGGTATCGGGTGCACCAGGGTGCGGGCCCTGCAGCCAGCGGCAGGTGGGGGCGGTGGATGGCCGGCCTCCAGGGCCGCTCTGCTGGCAGGGCCCCGGCCCCGGGGCTGGCACAGCGGCCAGCCGGAGCCGGTCGGCTACGGGGCTGCGCTGCGGCAGGCTGGCCGGGGCCGGGGGGAGCAGGCCTGTCTCCGGCCAGCCGGCCGAGCCCACCAGCTCCCTCCGCTCCAGCCGCCAACCGGCGGGTGGTTCGGGGCCGGCCTCCCTCCCAGGGTTTCGGAAAGACCGCCCTCAGCCTGGCTTGGTGTCTGGGTCCCCAGAACCTCACCCGCGTGTGGTCAGCGGCCGTCCACAGCCCTTCCTTCTAGGAAGCCGTCTGCTGGGGACAGGGCCAGGAAGGGGTGACCCGCCGGCTCGGCCGGGAGGACAAACTGCCCTGGGCTTCACCACCAGGCAGCCCCGTCCCCACCCCCGCACGGGCCCCGGCGCGGCACGGGGACACGGTTCACCTGGGTCCAGGTGAACGGCCGCCCACGCCCACATTCCGGGGACAGGAGCCTTGGGGCCCGGGCCCCAACACTGCAGACCGCACGCTGGCCAGCCGGCCCAGCCCCGCAGTCCCTGAGAGGAAGCTCCCGAGACAGCCTGTGCTTCGGGGGTCCTGCTCCTGGGAGCGGGGGCCGCCCCGCCCACCCGCCAACCAGACCGGCGGTGGGGGAGGGGGCAGGGAGTGGGCGGGCCGTGGGACCACAGCCTAGTTTGGGTTCAGGGGCTCACAGACAACCCCCAGGACTGCGCCTGTGGCTTCGCGGGCGTGAGTTTTGCGGATGAACCTCGAGGTCACCCCGTCCCCGCTGCCTGCACTCCGTCACCACCCAGGCCTGCCCACAGCAGCCTCTCCCCAGGGGGTGGAGAGAAGGGCGGGCCGGGGGCCCTGTGCACCCCTCACTGCACCGCCCCACTTGCTCGGGAAGACCCTGGAGAGGGGCACGGGGCAGGGGGTGGAGTGTCTGCTCTGAGGCCACACTGTGCACCGAGTCCCCAGGGAAGGCAGGGACCAGGAGCTGTGGGAACAGGAGGGCCCACCTGGCTAGGAGAAAGGGACACGGGGAGCTGTGGGGGCGCCAGGCCACCTGGGGGTGCATGACGGCAGCGGATTCTTCCCGCAGCACCTGCCCCAGAGGTCTGGCGGGCCTGGGACCTCGGGGGGAAGACAGAGCCCCCCTCTTCCAAGTGACAGGCCTGGGCGCCTCCCCCAGAGGGACCCTCTGCTGGCAGAGCCAGTGACATCGTGGCCCCCCAGACCGCCCCAGGTGTGTGGCTCGCCCCGGGCCACGGGGAGCAGCATCCGTGTCTCTGTGTCCAAGGCCAGGGTCCGGAAGAGCCGGCTGGGCAGGTGCCGTGCTGGCCCTGCGTGCCCAGCCGCACCGAGGAGGGTTCCCCAGCACAGACTGTTAAAGGCCCGGGAGCTGGTCTCCTCCTGGCCACCCTCCCCCTGCCCCCACTCCCCTTTCCACGCTGGGGAAAGAAGGGGGTGTCTCAGAGCCCCCAAGAGTGAGAAGCAGGACGGACCAGCCCTAGGCCTCGCAGGGACCTGCGCCTCCCTCCCCAGAGCCTGGGCGGACAGGCCCTGCGACATACCCTGGCGACGGAGCACCCGGAGACGCCCGCCGCGCCTGCTGCCCTGGCGGCCAGGCTGGCCAGGGCTGAACGCCGGGTGCTCGGGGGCCTGGGGGCCTGGCCGCCTCTCACGGCACCGGGGCCGACGGCAAAACCCTTGTTGAAAAGTCTCACTTGTAAGAACCGAAGGCTTTCGTGCGTTATTTCTTTTGCAAGGGAGGGGTGCGGGGGGGCTGTGCATTTCCTGTCCTCCCCTGCCCGGGAGGGCAGTTTGGCCCAGAGGGTTTCAAGCCCCCCCGCCCCAAGCACTGCCTCCTCTAGGGGCTTCCCAGATCCCTCAGGGCCCCACGAGGCGGCAGCACCGCCCCGAGGGTGCCCTCCCCCGGCCCCAGCATCTCTGTCCCCTTTTTTCAAGTGGTGTGGGGGCGGGGGCGGGGGTGGAGGGAGCCTGATCCGGCCGCCTGCCCGCAAGAGTCCCTGGGTGCGCACAGCACCTGCCCCGCCCCAGAGGACGCCCGCGGGCCCCGGGGGAGGGTGCCAGAGCAGCTGCGCTCCAGCTGTGCAGACCGCCCACAGCCACCCTGGGGTGGGGGGAGGGCAGAGCAGGGCCCAGGTCTTACACTGGTTCTCCCCATAAAGGTCTGCCGAGGCCCCAAGGCCGTCTGAGCTCAGACCGCTGGCTGTCTGCATGCTGGGGTCCCAGAGGAGAAGGGGGGGTCCCACACCTCTCAGAGGCAGGGCATCCAGCGCCCCCTCCGGGAGCTCTCGGAGAGCCCAGTAGCCCAGCACTGCCGAGCCGTCCCCCACCGGGCCCCATCTGGAAGCCGCTATGGGCAAGCTGAGTGCTCGGCCGCCCCGGCTCCCGGCCAGCGCGCCAGGCCCACTGCGGCCAGGCCGGTCCCCGGGCAGCCGGGACGGCCCATGAGTGAGCAGGGCAGGTGTCCCCAGAGCAAAGGTTTCCCGCTGTGCCCCGGGAGACCCCCTGTGCACTCCAGAAGCTTCTCGGCAGAGCTCGGGCCCCACTGGGACGACACTCCCCGTGGACCCAGGCCAAGGAAACCCAGAGAGACCCCGGACGCCTCTGCGAGAGCCGGGGAAGGCCTGGCGGGCCAGGGGCCAGCTCCCGGGGACTCCAGTCCCAGGGGACCTGCCGACAGCCGGGGGGACGTGGGGTGTGCGTGGGTGCGTGTGTGCACGTGTGGGGGTGTGGGTGTCGGGGTGCAGGTGAGGGTGGGGGGCGTGGGGGTGCGGGGTGCAGGCGCGGTGCACACTTCCTGCCGGGGATGGCGGCCATGAGAGGGAGTGACGCACCAGGGCCCAGGGAAGCATCTCCAGCTCCGGAAGCCACTGCCCGGAGCGGCCAGGAGCTGGACACCAGCGCCCAGAAGGCTGCCGAGCACAGGGGCCCTGGCGCACACCCACTAGTCTGGGCGCCCAGAGCTGCGGGGGCGAGGTCCCGGCAGCCACAGGCCAGCCTGTGCCAACCGGACCCAGGGGCCCTGGCGTCAGCCTGAGGAGATCCTTTCAAATAACCCAGCACCGAGAATCGAGACCCTTGAGGGGGGGAGCAGGGCAGGGGCCCCCGAGGCAAGGCTGCTGGGAGGTGCTCCAGTGAGCAGTGGGGCGGATGGGCTGGGGGCCCCCCTTCCCAAAGCCAGGTTCCTCCAAAGTCCCAAGAGGCACCTGCCTCTTGGCACGCTGCCCACCCCCACCACCCCCATCAGTGTCCTGTGAAGGCCACATCAGCCAGATGGGGGACCAGGGAGACGGGAGGGTGCGTCCCAGCCACAGCAGGGAGGGGGCGGTGGGTGCCCACCAAGCCCAGGGAGAACCTGCCCCAGCCTGGGGCCCCCGAGGCCAAAGAACCGCGGTCACGGGCTCCCAGAAGCCTCTCTCCCACCCGGCCGGCCGGCAGCAGCTGGGGGCTGCCCGGCCCCCACCCCCCGTCACTGTGTCTGCAGCCCACACGACATTCCTGCATCTGTTTCCACTTTCCGAACCAGAGAAATTTTATGGGGCAGCGGCCTCACCCCCCAGCAGCAGCCTGGACATGTGAGAGAGTGTGGGGTGCGGGGAGGGGGCCCCCAGGGGCTGGCAAGCCGCCTGCCACATAGCAGCCAGGCGTGCAGGCAGCGGGCCCTCGCAGCCCCGCCGGCGCACTCTGGGTTTCTGGGGCGGAGAGGAAGGGCACCCCGCCCCCAGGCCCCGGGAACGACCCCCATGGGGCCTTGGAGGCAAGAAGGGGCCAGCTCATGCCCTGGCACCTGTGCCCAGAGCCTGCTGCGGGGGTCCGAGGGGCCCCAACTGCTCCACACCAGGCTCCTGGCCTCCAGCCCCTCCCCCCGCCCCTCGGCAACCGCCTGGGGCTCTCTCTCCTTCCCACCCTTCTCTCCCTCACAACCCTCCAGGGCCATCAGGCCCATCCCCCAAGGGGAGGGAGCCCAGAGAGGAACGGAGGGTCAGGGTCCCATCGCTCCTCCGGCCACAGCCCGACCCCCGGCTCCTTGGGGCCCAGAAGCCCAGCTCTGCGGACCAAGAGTGGCCTCACGCTGCCCTGCCCCTGGCCAGCCTCCCCGAGTTTGGAAGCTCTTGATAGGACAGCAGCCCGATCATGGGAGCCCCGCCCACCGGGGGAGAGGACCTGGGCCTCCCAGCCAGATTCAGGTGTGGTGGCTGCAGATGGTCCCAGGCAGGGGTCACGGGGTCCAGTCTGGACGTGCAGGAGCGGGGCCCTCGGGCCCTGTTCTCTCCTCACCTGCCTGAGCCTCCACTCTCTCAGGTGAGTGGGGCTGGAAGGCCCACCACAGGCCAGGCCGGGGGCCCTGGGGCCGCCCGCGGGCAGCTGGACAGGCCCAGGGGCCCGGGGGGTGCGCTTACCCAGGCAGGTCCTGCCGTCTGCGTGGAGCCGGAAGCCGGGCCTGCACTCGCAGACGTAGGAGCCGGGCGTGTTCACGCACCTGTGGTGGCAGCCGCCGTTGTGCATCTGGCACTCGTCCACATCTGGGCGGGGACACAGGGTCGGGGGTTCACGGCCCACCCCCACCCGGGCCGCCCACCTGCTCCGCGCTTCCCCAGGCTCCCAGCCCAGGCCCCTCCCCGAGGACAGACCCCCCAGGGGCTCTGCTGGGGACCTCCAGGACCCTCCACTCCACGCACAAGCCACGTCCACCCTGGGGAGACCCCCAGGTCCTTGCGGAGCCCCGAGGCTGCCTCAGTTGAGGACAGCTCAGGGGACCCCTGCTGGGTTAGTGGGATCCAGGCCCCTTTATATGGAAAAGACTTTTGCTCCAAAATCGAGACAGGATCAAGTCACCCTAAGCCCACCCTCCCCCCAGCGGGGGCCATGCAGTAGCAAAACGGGCGCTCTCAGTGGGCCCCGACGGCCCTCAGTTCCTGGCCCCCTGCCCGGCCACGGCGGCCACCCGAGGAGCCACGAGCTCTGTGGTCCTTAAGGAGCGTGTGCTCAGCTACACTCCGTCCCCAGAGAGGCCCGCGTCCCAGTCCCAAGCGGCAGCAGGGGCCCTGCAGGCGGGCTGAAGCTCAGGCGCGAGCCGGTCCTGCAGCAGGTCCGGCGGGCCAGTGCGGTGGAGGGTCCTCTCCCGGGGACGGCAGGGGCGTCCGAGAAAGAGATGGGAAGAGGCTGCTGCTGCCCTTGCAGGCGGAGGGAGGGGCCGCCAGCCACAGGCCACCAGCGCCCGTGGGGGCCGGGAACGGCCCAGGATCTCCCCAGGGGCCTCCAGGAGGGGCCTGCCTGCCCCCCGGCTCTGGCCCACTGTGCACTCCTGACCCCCAGAACTGTAAGGGGCCTGACCGGGGCTGTGGCGGCCCTCTGTCACAGCAGCCACGGGAACCGGCCACAGGGTATGCCGTTACGACCTCTGGAGTCCTGTCCGTCCCAAGTCAGGAGCCAGGCCAGGGAGCTGAGAGTCAGCCCCTGCAGGGGCATCTGCTGTCCCCCTGGGAGACGGCTGCCCCCCGGGGCTCCGGGAGCTGCAGTGCCCTGGGTCCCGCCCCACAGGCTCGCCCTCACTGTACAAGGGGAGCCCTGGGACGCCCCAAATGTCGGGGCCCCCACCTGGCACCGGCTCCTTAGACTCTGGAACGACAGCAGAACACCGTGGTCTCCCGGCAGTGCCGAGCGGGGCCTGGTTCCCGCCACGGCGTGGCTCCCAGGCCCCCTCCTCTCCCGTGCTTTCCCGGGACTCGGGGGAGGAAACCCGTCCCGTCCAGGGGAAGCCCACTCTGTCCGGCATCCCCAGACGCAGCGGCCGTGCCCCGAGTGGGGCAGTTTGAAGGAGCAGCCGGGCCGGGGGTCAGCAGGGAAATGCCTCTGGTCCTTCACTGCCCTCAGCCGAGATACATGACCGGGGTTTCTGGCAACCCCCAAACACGCCACACCCACTGGAGCGGGGCGACCTCTGTGCCGACGCTGGGCTGGGTCCCCAGGGAGCCGGCAGGCCCCGAGGTGTCTGTCTGCTGAGCCGGTGCACGGCGGTGCCTCAGGGAGCCCGACCTGAGGCCGTTTGGGGCCCGTGGGGTCTCTACCAACCACCAACCCATCACACGAGCTCCCGGACCAGGCCCCCACAGCCGGGTCGAGCCAGCTCCCCGACAGAACCCACCCACGACCAGCCCACCCTGAAGCCCCCGCCACACTCGCAGGAAGGCTGAGCCCTGGGGGTCCGGCCGGAGCTCCACCCAGGGGCCCTCCAGGCCCGCTTCCCCCACGAACCTGACGCAGGCTCTCGGCCCCGATGTGCGCACCCCACCATCTGAGGGCCTGTTCCCTCTCCCCTCCACAAGCCCAAGCACCCCCCTCCGGCACAGAGTCTGGATGCCATGCAGTCTCGTGACAGTCAGTGCCACCCGTGGCTGAGTGACAGCACTGGCCTGGCCTTGGGGACCTCACGGGGACCGAGCCTGGGCCCCAGCTGGCCGAGTGACAAAGCCAGGAGGGGCAGCAGCGCTCGCCAGAGTCAAGAGCCTGCAGCTCGGAGCTCTACGTGCCCCCGGCAGGGCGAGCGGCAGGGACTGGCCCCGGGGACAGCGGAGCAAGGACAGTGTCTCCGAGGAGCCCAGGTGCCGCTGCACACAGACACTCGGGGGACCCAGAAGGGCCCGCTGCCGGGAGGGACCCAGGCGGGGACTCACGGGGAGCCTAGCACCACCCCCCACCCGATTCCCGACTCCAGGGCCCCAGGAGCTCCCTGCACAGGCGGCACACTTGAGCTCCGGGGAGAGGGCAGGGTGTGACCCACCTCCCGGGGGCTGCTGGGGTCCTCCCAGCAGACCCCCGTGCCCCAGGCTTGGGGGTGGGGGAAGGAAGGAAGGGCGGCACCTGCCACACCCACACGTGACCCCCACGGGGCCCAGGATCTGAGGACCCCGGAAGGGGAGACCTGCCCTCGGGAGCCAGGGGCCTCTCTCTGACGTGAGCCCCAGAGCTGCCGGCGCCGGGCTCACTGGCAAAGGCCGCGGAAGGTTTTCCTTCCCCCTGGTCAAGCGACCACCCTGCCCCCAGCAGCCCCACAGCCGGCCCAGGAGGGGGCAGGGAGGTCTGAGGACTCAGGCGCTCCTGGGCACTGCCCCGCCCTCCCTCAGGCCCCGGGCTGTCAGCACCCGCGCAAACTTTAAACAGAGGAAACAAAGGCCACCCACGGGGGCAGGGCACCCAGTCTCGCCGCCTGCGCGGAGCCCGCCGGCGCCCACCTGCTCTCCCGTCACCGGCGCTCAGGGGGTAGACGGCCTGGCCCAGGTGGCACGGGTAGCAGCCCCTCCAGAGGTAGCGGTAGTGCGTGCCCGCGACGCGCGCCAGGCCCCCCAGAAGCCCGAGGCACCAGAGCGCGGCCAGACGGCTGCGGCTCCAGGACGCCTCCATGGCGGACCGGCCGCGCAGCAGGCGGCGGGCTCCCACTCCGGGACCGGCCCCGGCGGGCACGCACAGGCGGCCACGGCAGGGCTGTGCTGGGCTGTGGTGCCGGGCTGCGCTCTGAGCCGCCGCCGGGAGCCGTTCCCGCCCAGGCGTCCTGCCCTCGCCTTTAAGTTCTCAGCTTTCCCTCCGCCCCCCGCAGGTAAAGGCCAAATCCTCGGACCGGAGGGCCCGCCCCCGGGCCCGCCCCCGGCCCGCCCCCGCCCCCCTAGGCCTCCCTGGGTCTCCACTGCTCGCAGCCGCCGCCGAGCGCATTCCTCCGCGGAGTTCCGCGGCGGTAGACCCGGGCACCAGCACAGGCACCGTGACACCAACGCTCAGACCCACGAGCACAAACACAGACCCACGTGTGCAAACATGCACAAAAGACACACACAGCCCAACCGTGCAGACGGGCACACACGGACCCACAGGCACGAACGTGTGTTCCTAGTGCCAAGGAGGAAAAGAAACCGCGGCGGAGAAGCCTGGGGCGCCGCCGGGACAGCGGATGGTTCTCATTGCCACGCTCGGGAGGGCTGGGCCGCAGGCCCTCGGGGCCCACCCACCCCGTGGGGACCTGGGGATGACCATGCCTGCTGGGGCCCGGGCTGGGGCCCAGGCCTTCCAGGGTGGGGGCGGCGGCTCGGGGCCGTGTCCCCAGCACCCAGCACAGGGCAGGGCTGGGGAAGAGCAGGCACAGTCTGGGGGGCGGGGGGCGTGGGGCGACGTGGGTCTGGGCCCCCTGAAAGGCTAGATGGCACAAACAAGCGCCTGGCCCCCAGCAGGCCTCAGTCTCCTCATCTGTACAGTGGGCGGGAAACCAGATTTGACCAGCCAGGGTGCCCCGCCCCCAGCTGGATGCCATGAAACACACGTGACTTGGAAAGGAGAAATAGGACAGGGTGGGCCCACGGGGCCCAGGGAGGAGAATGAGACAGGGATTTGGGGGTCAGGGGCCGGCTCCCGCAGCACGGGGAGGGGCCCCACACGCTTCTGAAGAGTTGGGTGGGGACCGCCGACTCTCCTGCCCCGGAAGTCCTCACGACGCCCCACCCCGAGGCTCGCCCAGCTCTCAGCGTCTCCACCGCCCAGGGCTGCCCGCGGCCCGCTCACCCAGCCCCTCCGGCCCCCTGCCTCCTTTCCTGCCCGGCACCTCACTTCCCCCCTCTGCCCCTCCCAGACAGGCCGTGCTTAACCCTCATTCTGTCCCGAAGGGGACCCAGGAGCAGGGTGCCCAGGACCTGGGGGTGCAGCAGAGGGGGCCAGGCCAGACGGTGACCCAAACCCTCCCTCACCGGGCCCCCTCCCTCAGGCTCCTCAAGACAGAGGTCCCCATGGGTGCCCTCGCCTCCCTGTGGGCGGGCTCCCAGCGCGTTGTGAGTGGGTGGGGGGCAGAGAACCTGCGGGAGCGAACCCGGTTCCTCCCGAGGCCCGCCGGCCCTGGCCGCGGGCACCCCTGGACTGCCGGCCGGGACCTGGTGTGGGGGCTCCTCCAGGCCGGGCTGCCAGGGGCCTCGGCGTCTGAGCGGGGCCCTGGGCAAAGCTTTCTAGGAGCTTCTGGCTTCACACCTTGGCCCCTCACTCGGCCGTGGCCTGAGTGCCCTCTCTGGGCCGGGCACGGCTCTGGGTGGGGCATCGCCTCCCCTCCCGCCGAGGGTAATGGTCAGGACTCGGGGCACAGAGGGCTCTGGGCCTCCGTCCCCGCTAGGGCTGGCTGCGCCAGCTCGGGCGTGGCCATGGGAGCAGACGGACGCCGGCAGCCAGACGGTGCCCGCAGCCGCCCGCGGCCTCCCTCGGTGCCACCAAGCGCGCCCAGGCGGGGGGCTGCGGGGTCTGGAAGCCGCCGGGGAAATGCCTTCTGGATGCGGAGACGCGCGGAATGTCTGTGTCAGCAGAAGGGGCTGACCCCGCCCCCTGCCGGGCCGGCCCCGCCCTCTTCTTCTGGCTGGGGGGGCCTGAGGGCTCTCCTGCCAGGACCCAGGCAGAGCGCGGCCCATGTCACTGCCCCCAGATGCCACGCCCCCCACTTGGAGCTGGGCCCACCCCGCCGCAGGCCCCTGGCAGCGGCACTGGAGGGCAGAACCACCGA